TCGGGATACGCCCAGAGTCACGGAACGGATTAAGTTCATATCCCAAGGTACCACTGTACCTGTAATACTGTTCACTTATTAAACCTGAGATGCTGTTACAGTTTTCTGTTGGAACACATGACATTACTGTGGGAAGATTGCAAAAGACTAAGAGGATGATAGATAAAATGTATTCAGTGGCATTGCATAACTGCTCACTGCAATGCAAATTGTGTATCTAAATAAGATTATGTAATTTTCTTGCTTTGGGGGCAGGGGGTGTTTAGAGTAAAATATCACAAACTGCTTCTGGTTGAGAAAATTAACTTGGACCACCCCAGGAAGAATCAGATCAGCGTGGTCTGGGAATCTCTAGAATGTTCCATTCCTGTAACAGTTGATTTTGTATATACTTAACTGACAGTGTAATGTTCCTATTCAGAAAGGGTGTTTCTCTATTAGAGAGATAAGAAAAGTTAATAACCGCTATGACTCATCACAAACACAACTGATATTCTTAGTACATTTTTGAAAAAGGCATCTAAAAGGAGGGGTAGGAGCATTAGATGGGTATGGGGGGGCATAAAGGTTAGTCTGTGGCAGACTATATATCTATCAAATTACAGAGTACTCTAGTATGACGAACTGGAACCTCATTAAAACTAGTTTATGGCACAGGTCATCATTTGATGAATTTTAATTGCTGCTGTGCAGAACCTGGCAACATATGTTGTAGCAGGGTTGGTATCTGAAAGCAGCAAGGAGGTGTAGAATTGTCCTTTGTGCCCTGGGTATTTATGCAGTGATGGTGAGATGAAGCTAGTACGAATGTCTCTGTAATACAGGCACTGGAGAAGCACATGCTCTGTTGTTTCTGTGTGTCCAGAGTCACAGGGGCATTGTCTCTCCGGGTAAGGAATCGTTCTGTGTTGGCCTTCAAGGACAGCTGAGGGGAGGGCATGACTCTGAGTTGTCAATTATATTCTTTTTCAGGAAAAAAAAAAGGGATTCTGCTCTTTGTGAAAAGAAGTATTGAGCAGGATTTAAATGATAATTTCATAAATGGAAAGAATAGTCAAGTAAATAGATTTGACTCTAGATTCTGCTGCTCTTGAGCCATTGAAAGTTGTAATAATATTGGTCACAGAGATCTGCTTTGTAGTCTAGATCCAAGTTCCTTGAGCCATTGGGAAAGCTCCAGTAATACTGGTCCCAGAGAACAGCTTTATATTAGCAGCTTTATATTAGTACTGGCCACTGCTCCAGATCTCGTAGTGAATCTGTCAGCATAGGAGGACATTCTGTCACAGGATACATTATTCTCCATAGTCTGTTGGAGGTTTTAGTCTGTTCTTAGGCACTTGAAAATAGAGCTGGCAGGAAAGAGTTAACTAAACCTCTTCCAACTAAGAAGCAGGTTTTTGTCATCTGGTGGAGGGAACCTTCCTCATCTCACCTTCTATGCATCACATCGGTAGGTTAGTGCCTCTTTTACATCAGTGTTCCAGAATATTCTTTACCTGAGATGAATTGGCAGGAGCCCAAAACCCCAACTGCCCATATAATATGTCTGCCTTCAGTTTGTATTTTTCCATCACCGTTTTCATTTTTAATTCTTTCCATCTGTCTGTCTATACATATAATTAATAGTTTAGTATTTCTCTTTTCAGTAGCATTTCTTTGTTATTGTGAAACCTATGGCCTTTCTTCTCCAATTTTAGGACTAATATTCCCCCTGCAATCATTTTTTAATAATCTTCCTGAAGGTGAGAAACCTGTCTTCCATGCTAAGGAAGATCACTTGTCTAACCACTAAATTAATTCTTACCATGTTGCTGACCATGCCTGTAAGAATATTGCTAGAATGGTTACACAAAGCAGATATTTTGGCTGTATGCTTTTTTTATCTTATCTACACTATTCTAAATTTCACATGGTAGGAAAATAATGCTTGGGATCATCCAACAAAGATTAGAGCCCTACAGAGAAAGAGAGATGTCAGATGTTCAAGGTGGTTTTAAAAAAGGCCGAGGAACAAGTTATTTCTGCTAATGCATGCTGGATAATTGAGAAGTCCAAAGAATGCCAAAAAGAATTATACCAACTTGTCAACCCCACTAGGTAGATCAGACCAGGAAATCAACACCACAGGAAAACTAGAACTACCTTTATTGAGATTAGCTATAGTAACAGAGTCTTGCAAATCTGATTATGCTGTACTTCCTCCCCCCCGCCATCTTATATCCCAGTGAATCAGGGAGGTGTCTGCCTGAGCTGCTTCCAAAGATTATCCTGTTTCTCAGGGCTTAAAAAATGTTTCAGCCCCCTTTGCTTAGGTAGCGTTTCTTACATATTTCCATCAAGGTCATCTTCCATATTCTCTACACAAATATAATCAATTATGTTGATTATAGAAGTGCCTTTGATTATGTTGATCTTGTCAGTTTGTGAAATGTACTTAGGAAAAAGGGAATTCAATCTCATTGTCCTGAACAGGAAGACCAGACAGAACATGGCAAAGGGGTGAGATGAGGCTGTATGCTGCCTCCATATTTATTTAACTTACATTCTGAGTATATCCTGAGGGAGGTTAGATTGGAAGAAGAAGCATCAATAATCTGCATTATCTTGATGACTCTGTTAGTTAAAAATGCAAATGATCTGGAAGCTCTAGTAATAAAACTCAAGGAGTCGAGTGAAAAGAAATGGAGTTACGACTAAATCTAAGGCCAAATTAATAACAACAGATATAGCAACCAGCCTTAGAATTGACAATGAAGATATTGAAGTGGTGGATAGTTTGTGCCTTTTAGGATTAACTATCAACAATAAAGGAACCAGCAGCCAAGAAATACATTGCAAACTAGCACTTGGTAGAGTAGCAGTGAAGGTCTTGGAAAAGATACTCAGATGCCAGGATGTGTATATACCTTCAAAGATCAGAATTGTACAGCCAGTGGTTCTTCCTGTGACGTTCTATGAAAGCAAAAATTGGACTTCGAAGAATCAGGATAGAAAGAAGCTTTTGAACTTTAGTGCTGGAGAGGACTCCTGAGAATGCCATGGAAACAAACAAATGGATCAAAGAATAAATCACTCTAAGAGTTCTCACTTGAAGCACAAGTGACCAGGCTCAAATTATCATATTTTGACACATTATGTAAAGACCTAGCAGTCTTGAGAAATCTGTAATGCTGAGAATGGTGGAAGGAAAGAGAAAAAGAGGCCAACCAGCAGCAAGATGGCTAGACTTGTGGCAGTGAATGCACCACTGGGGAACCTGAAGGGCTGGGTTAGGGACTGATCTTCCTGGAAAAAGTGCCTGAGAAGAGCAATATATTGATGGACTTTTTCCATTCAGCATGACTGGATGCTCAATATCAAAGTTTTCTAATATATCTTTTGTCAGTAGTATGCTGTAATAACAGATATACAGTCAGGTCCAGAAATATTGGGACATCGACACAATTCTAACATCTTTGGCTCTATACACCACCACAATGGATTTGGAATGAAACAAACACAATGTGCGTTAACTGCAGACTGTCAGCTTTAATTTGAGGGTATGTACATCCAACTCAGGTGAACGGTGTAGGGAGGCACATATGCAAACTGTTGTAATTCCTACACCGTTCACCTGAGTTGGATGTACATACCCTCAAATTAAAGCTGACAGTCTGCAGTTAACGCACATTGTGTTTGTTTCATTCCAAATCCATGGAGGCACATATGCAAACTGTTGTAATTCCTACACCGTTCACCTGAGTTGGATGTACATACCCTCAAATTAAAGCTGACAGTCTGCAGTTAACGCACATTGTGTTTGTTTCATTCCAAATCCATGGAGGCACATATGCAAACTGTTGTAATTCCTACACCGTTCACCTGAGTTGGATGTACATACCCTCAAATTAAAGCTGACAGTCTGCAGTTAACGCACATTGTGTTTGTTTCATTCCAAATCCATGGAGGCACATATGCAAACTGTTGTAATTCCTACACCGTTCACCTGAGTTGGATGTACATACCCTCAAATTAAAGCTGACAGTCTGCAGTTAACGCACATTGTGTTTGTTTCATTCCAAATCCATGGAGGCACATATGCAAACTGTTGTAATTCCTACACCGTTCACCTGAGTTGGATGTACATACCCTCAAATTAAAGCTGACAGTCTGCAGTTAACGCACATTGTGTTTGTTTCATTCCAAATCCATGGAGGCACATATGCAAACTGTTGTAATTCCTACACCGTTCACCTGAGTTGGATGTACATACCCTCAAATTAAAGCTGACAGTCTGCAGTTAACGCACATTGTGTTTGTTTCATTCCAAATCCATTGTGGTGGTGTATAGAGCCAAAGATGTTAGAATTGTGTCGATGTCCCAATATTTCTGGACCTGACTGTATTTCTGAACCAAGACAGTGCAAATCTGTTGACTGGGGACTGCCTGCTCTGAAAGAAGGCAACATATTTTTTGATTTTGTAAACATACACCTTGCATTGCTGAATGAAAGCTATTTTTTCAGAGTGAGCTAGCAAATTTGTATATCCTCTGAATATACAAATCCTCTGAAAAATAGGAGGAACACCTAAAAGGGTTTGGATAATCTGTGCCACAAATGTGATAATCTGAAATAATTAAAATGATTGGATATCTTGCATATCTTGCTAGGCTCCAAGTGAGAAAAAGACAGCTCAGTGGCGAACTTTGGAGGAAGCATTGAAGGATCGTAGAAAAGCTGTGGATGAAGCTGCAGATATCCTATTAAAGGCCAAGTGAGTATTCTAGTCTAAATTTAGTCTACTCTGACTAAATTTGAACTATTAAAATAATAACAATTGTAGAGTTTTGTGTTAGATTTTAGTTGAACTAAACTGTAATTTATATGGATTGGGGTTAGTGTGTTGTTCTCCCAGCTGTTATGGTTTCTGAACTATTTGCAGTTTAAAGTAAAGTATAATCCCAGTCAATTTTGGCTTCCTCAACAAATAAGGTTAAGCAAACTGGCTTGATATTATGTGTGAACTCTGTTAGTGACTGGGATCAATAGTTTAAACTTTTTCCATTTAAATTACACAGTTCAAATATAATTATAGAAGCATTGTACTGCTTAACGATGGTAATTGGGACCGGAATTTCTGTTGCTAAGTAATGTGATTGTAAAGCGCGATGTCACATGACCACATTGCTTAGCAATGGCAATCCCAGCAGTCCCCGTTGCTATCATTGTGACCCTCACAGGTCGTTAAGTGAGGACCTCCTTGCAACTTCTTGCCGGCTTCCAACAAGCAAAGTCAGTGGGGAAGCCACCTGGAAGTTGCAAGTCCCAGGCGGCTCACAAATAAGCCGGTGGGGAGGTAAGTGGCTGCTGCCAGGTCAGGTGTGTGGGTGGCCAGTGAAGCGCCATGTGAATTCAGCCAGGCCAGGGTGGCTGTTGCCAGGTTGGGGAGGGTGCATGGGTGGCCGGTGAGGCATGGTGTGAGTGTGGCTGGGTGGGGGTGGCTGCTGCCGAGTTAGAGAGATTTACTGGAGCAACTTGTGACCTTCCTTGCCAGCTTCCCCATTGACTTTGCTTGTGGGAAGCCAGAAGAGATGGTCACAAATGGCGATCATGTGACTGGGATGCTGTAACTGTTGTAAGTGCAAGCCGGTTGCCAACTGCCCAGATTGCAATCACGTGACCACAGGAGTGCTGGGCGGGCCAGAACTTTGAGGACCAGTCATAAGTACCACTCATTCAGCGTTGTCATAACTTTGGTTGCTGAACGAGTGGTTGTTAACCGAGGTCTACCTGTAGATAATGCTCAATGACCTAATTAAAAACAAATTAATTATTTAATTTTTAAAAGTTCATACTACCCAATTTGGGTTCCCATGTGAGAATAGAGATTTTGTCCAGTTTAAAAATATTTATTTATTTAAACAAATTTATATAGCCGCCCATCTCACAAATGTGTCTCCGGGCAGTGTACAACAAAAACAGTTAAAAACAAATATAAACAACTATAAAAAGCAATTAGACATAAATAAAAACCAAGATTAAAGGAGAATGGACAACATTCTAAACACAATACAACCATCTCGCAGGCTCCCTGTTCCTATGGGATCCCCAAAATTCCTGGAAAAAACATGTTTTAAGGACTTCCTGGTGGGGCTAACCTCACCTCAGAGAGAATGATGTATATAAATATGTTTTTATATCTTGGCACCCATGACACTGTATGAAATTGTGCAGTGATGCCTGTTGCCTAAAAAAATTAATGACCCCTGCTTTATAGCAGTGACAGATTTAATTTTCATCATTTTTTTGCTTGAACAAACAGTGAATGCTGGTATAATTGATGGCTTCTGGTTTCATTTAGAGAAGAATTAGAGAAAATGAAAGGAGTGATTGATGGTGTCAAGAAGTCTCACATATCTGGGGTCAAGCCTCACATACAGGCTGCAGAAGAGAACCTTCATCGTATGATCACTGACCTGGACAGTGTCGTCAAAAAGGTAAACTCAGCCAAAATTGGGTTTTATAGATTTTCACTGATGTTATGAATACTTTAATACTGAACTTTAATATTAAAAATTCATTTTTGATATCTAAGAAATAAGTTGATATATTTTCCCATAATGAATTACAGTATGATTAAATAAATAAAATAATATTTTGCTGAGAAATAGATGAGATAGGAGCTAATTTCAGTTTTCTTGTTTCAAAAGACTTTATTTCATTTTTGTGAATTATTGGGTAATTACTGTTGCTTTTGCATTTTTCTGTCCTGAACAGTGTCTCATCTCTATTGTTCTTATGTATTTCTAACTAAGGATTTTTAAAAATTGTACTTTTAACAAAATCAGAGGTTCGGCAGTGAGAACCTAGGACAAGAGCTGGGAACATGTGAAAGATTGCTGCTTCTTCTAAAGCAAAAAAATCAAATTCCTTAATTATAACTGGTGCTATTTGAATGATTACCTGTGTGGACACATAGTGGTCTTGTATACCTGCACACAGAGCTTCTCAGAAGTCCATAGAACTACAGTTAAAGAATGGACATTCACGTCTTTTCCCTGGACAGGGATTTGATCTTTTTCACATTCGTCCTTTAGAGCAGATGCTCTTCCATTCAATTCCATCAGTTAGAAGCTAAAATATACCAGCTGTGGGGAAAAAAGGCAGGTTATGTGGGTAACATTCATTACTCTTCTAAGAACCACATAGCCAGCCTGTCTTTTTTCCTCACAGTCTCTCTATAGTCCTGGAACGAGCAACTAGGCTACCATGCCCCAGGTAGGTGCAGAGGTCCTATTTGGACAAATGAGAATAGGAGAGCTCAAAGAATCCTTGGGGACGCCGTGGTGCAGCGGCTTAATGACGCTGGAGTTTGCTAGCCAAAAATGGTCGACTCTCCAACAGTTTGAGCCCAGCTCCGCGTGACGGAAGTGAGCTCCCGTCATATTGCCCTAGCTCCTGCCCACCTAGCAGTTCGAAAGTATACCATCTATGAGTAGATAAGTAGGTACCCCCATTTCGGTGGGGGGAAACACTGGCAGCATGGGGAATAGGAATCGGCACAGGACCTGCCTGGATGCGATCAGTGAAAGGATCAGTGGAGAAAGAAAAAATTCCCAGATGAGCTGACCTCCCTAGGAAGGCTGCTGGCCAGCTGGTGCAAAGCTAGCTTGCCCTCTTGTGGTGCACCAGTGCAATAAATGAACTAGCAATTGCTGGCACCAGAGCATCTACTGTGTGTAAAAAACATTGTAGACTCCCTGGCATTGTATGCCATACACTAAATAAATAAATCAATGAATCCTCTACCTCACCTTCAGAAATGGACCATTTGCCCATATGATGTTTTTTTGATAATTGGCTGAGGTATGTGGATTGGGCAAATCGCAATAGTGAACAGGCTTGACTGTGACTGCTGCAGTTGGTAGAACCCGTGCTTGAGATTTTAAGCCTTTTTCTTTTTGTTCTGTAGGTACAAGCAGCGCAGTCAGAGGCTAAAATAGTAACACAGTACCATGAGCTTGTAACCAAAGCGAGAGAAGAATTTCAGAGAGAGTTGGATAGTGTTACTCCTGACATTCAGCATGGTTGGAAGGGGTTAAGTAAGTAAGATGATAAAATATATAAATAGCTGACGTCATGGCAAACATCTCCATTTGCATGCTTGATTTTTAGGACTGATTTAGCTTGATTGACGCTTTTCCCTTTTTAACTCCTTAAATTGAGACCTATTTAATTCTGTGGGCTCTTAATCTTGGGTACTTTCTTTGCCTGCTTTTTGGGTTGCTTGTCTTTTTGGCTTGATACAGGTAGTCCTCGCTATCCAACCACAATATGGACCAGAATATTCTTACTGAGATGCCTCTCTTTATCAGTTCCATATAACGAGCAGAAGCATTTTCAGTTCTCTCAACAAATACTCATTTTTTGTAACAAACCACATCCTATTCTTATTCTATCAGTATTTGCACATTTAAAATTTCTCCAGTCTTTTCCTATCTTTACTAAGCCTTCTACTTAGCTGCACACATTTGCCTACTTGCTTCCTGTTTTGCCAATTACAAATAACCTGAAATCATTCACTCCAGTTCCTTGATGGACACAGCTACCTTGGTTTTCAGTGCATTAATTTTTCAGGTCATTCTCCTCGTTGCATCATGCAATATATTTGACATTTGTTGCACATCATTTGGGTTCTCAGCCAGCCACCCATACTGCCTGCATACAAAAGTACTGTATGCACTCATTCAGGACCCCAAGTAACATACTTCTAATGTCCCACGAGAATTCCTTGTACATTTGTCCATGAATACATTGATGCATATCTTTCTCTTACTCCTTGTTCAGTATCAGACTATTTGGTAAAAGTTTCATTCTTCTGATGCATGCTTTATTTTCTTCATATACCATTATTATTGCATTCGGCACCCAGCCTTCAACTCCATATTCACACAAAATATTCCATAATTCAAGCATATTCACTTTATAATATCCTTCTCTAAATCAACTTTTTCCATAAATTTCTCAGAAACTTGCAGAAGAGCAAAATCCTTGTCTACACCTTCCCTGCCAGCATAAAGCCACATTGCAGGTCTCAAATCTTGTTCATTGTACCTCTCATATACTTTCAATCAGATTTCTCCAAAATACCTTCCTAGTCACATTTAACAGGCTCATCCATTTACAGTTTATGCAGTTAATGTTACTTTCCCCTTTGTATAAAAGAACTGTATTCCAGTTATCAGCCATTGTCAGCACTACAAGGCAGACCAGATCAGGAAACTGACTCCACAGGAGAATTAGAACTATATACTTTACCGAAGTAGGCTATAGTAACAGAATCTTACAAGCCTGATTGGCCTTTACCTCCCCTCCCTCTTATACCTCAGTGAATCATGAATGAGTCTGCCTGTGTCTCTTCTGAATACTATCTTGCTTCCCAGGACTTAAGGAATGTTTCAGCCCCCTTTGCTTATGTAACAGTTCTTGCCTATTTTCTTCAAGGTCATCTCCCTGCCACAGCCACAGGTACCATTTTTCCACATTCTCACAGCATTTATTACTTCCATGTTTTCATTATAGCATTTGTTTCAATTCTACTCTTCAACATATCACCATAATTCTGATACAAATCTTGAAAGTACCCCTTCCTGCATTCTCTCAGTTTCAACCAAATCATTTTTCTTAATTCCATTCACTTTCTTGGAGACTCCTTGTTTAGGCCTTCTCATTCACTTCCAAATCAGTTTGTTTTTTTTTAATTTCCATTAAAGCCATGTGACATTATCTCTTTTAATATTCATTGTTCCTTGTTCTCATTTAACTGCATTTTTGGTGGCCATCTTTTTTGCTCCATGCATATTGTATAATATCTTTTGCCGTCCTTACTTTTTGCAGCAGTCATTCTCTTAAATGTATTTTTTCTTTTCTACTTCTTTTTTTCTTTCACTTCATTAAGGGTCCTTTTTCATATGTCATATTAGCGTATTTCCACACACTTCTGTGGTACTTTGTAACGTAATTATTTTACTGTCTTCCCACCTGTTAACACATCTTTCTTTATATTTACTTGCATTCATTTTTTGGAGGGACTAATCTGTGTTCTATGTTTTCACATACAGGAGTCATACATTCTCTTCCTGTAGTCATTCTACTTTCACTTTCACTAGTTTCTTTCACTTCTTTCCATTTTTTCAATATCTATTTGTCCCCAAGACTCAGTCTTCTCACCAAAAAAGTATCTGTCCTACATTTAGAACCATCACTAATTCAATCTTTCATCATAGAAAATCTGTTATTATTTTAGATTCATTTGTTTGCAATGTATGTATACAACTTATGCTTAAATCATGATTTGAAACAGATGTTTTTCTAAGCAGATGTTCTTCAGATGGTAACCATTTTAATTTATTCTTGGCACAGTCACTTTTTCTTCGTTCTCTTGTCCCATCCATCTGTAACTTTCCCCCTGAATTGCATTAATGCAATCTTGCACAGTTTCCCCCCAATCTCATCTCTGATCTTCCACAAGAGCAGACCATCTTCATTCAGATCCATTACTTCTTCCCGTTCCTTTTAGATTCAAACAAGCAACATACTATTTTTTTCATTCTTTTTATTAGTTCATGCTCTTTATCATTTGTGTGTGTTTGTGTCTGCACATGCGTGCCTTTGAAATCATGATCTCTCAGTTTCTAGCCTGATGCCTTAAATCACTACACCAAACTAGCTCTCCTTTATCATTTACTCCTCTTATATTACAAATTGCAATTTTTCATATATAATATTCATCCCAAGAAGGGCCCATAAATGTTGACCGTTGAGTATGGTTTTGGTCCATTGAGGTTTTCGCATAAGACAGAGAGGAGTGTACTCAGTTACCAGCCTTAGTAGTACCTATGTCATATGCAGCGTTCCCTGTTCATGATAAGCACATAACATTGGTCATTTTCAGAACATTTTAGCCTGTATGACTCAAGCACAACTAAGACAATTGTAGCTCACACTATTCTGTGCAAGCTACGATCTCTAATAAATGAGAGGCTGCCTTCTAAGTGATCCCACCAACTAGGAAGTACATGCTAGATACTGACAGATACTGAGAAAACATAATCAAATAATTACTTTAAAAGTCATGTCTTTAAACTAGGGTTCTAAGAGAACAGTTGTACAGTAATACATTCTCTACTGTAGTGTGTACTATTTTCCTCCTTTCTTGAGTAGGTGAATGTATTAGGCAAATAAATATAAACATATAGTCCATAGAAGGAACAAAACATAATTTGGCAACCAAAGTGACAAGGAGACTCTGCATGCCTTTTCTTCATCTTGCTGCAGTATCCAAAAATTAGGTCTGGGGGAAGAAGCAGAAAGGTTTTTTTTTTAAAAAAGGGCAGGAGTTAGCTGAGTTAGTTGGAAGAATTAATTGGTAAACATTGCTGGCACTGGATTGCACCCAGCATTCTGGTATGGCAGAGAATTTCCTCATACATACACACATTTGAGAGGGTGAAGCCCAGCTATACACGCATGCTATATCAGTCTTGCATTTTTAACTATCTTCTTTATTAATTTTCAAGCTATATACTTGTATCTATATTCTTGGCTTCTGAATACTTGTAACAACTCATTGATCTGCTACTGTGAATCTGGTTTAACTTCTTTAAACCTTCATTTTCTCTTGCAGAAATAACTGATATAGGTGAGTTCTTAACACAGTTGTGGTTTGTATAAACATCATGTGTCTCTTGTTTATTTTAACATGAGAATAAAGTGGCAAGCATACATATGCACTTGCTTTGCATTTTAAAAAAAACTTTCTTACATCTTACATAATCATTTTAAAAAATTTGTGCTAATGTTCTGTTTTGCAAATCACCGTTGTGAGCATAAACCAGCCGCATGTGACTTTGTGGTCCAACATAGTTGTTTTTTTGAGCTATTTACAAATTATTATTTTATAAGGTATGGGTGTGTATTTTTATTTACATATAAGTAATTTGTATGGATTTGTAAGAAACTAATCCTTTTGTTTTGGTTTCTATTAATTTTTTTCTTTAAGTTAAAAGATTGTTTTGTGAATTGTGTATCTTAAGAATGTTAAATAAAATTTTTGATTTGTATTTTAACTGTACTTTTTATATATCTTAATAAAAGTTTTAATTAGAGTAAAAGAATGTTAAATAAAAAAATTTAAAAAGCAACTCATCAAATGATTTCTGGCTAAATAACTTTTAAAAATATAATTCCTTGATAGTAAGCTGCATTGAAATTTAAAAATAGGTTTGTTCTAGTGGTTCCTTTATTTAGCTGGACACAGACAGAACTTCCTTGAACAACTGATATAAATATAGTATGCTACAAGAAGCTATTAGTATTTTTTATCAGTATTCAAATGTTGAATATTCAAAGATAATTATTTTTAACAACTCTCCAAAGCTTTGTCTTGATGGTTAGTTACTCAGTAAGATTATTCAAAGACCCTGACTTACGTCATTAAAATATATTTTAAAGTATTAATGTATTTATTTTGCCATGTTGTTTTCTTTATGATGCTGTATTTATTGGGTTATTCCTGATGTAGAGATCTCTGTGTAAAAGAATTTGAGTCCATTTAGTCAGTGGGTGTTTTCCTTTTTATTTCATATCATGTGTAGGCTCTCAAGTTTCTGAATGTTTAAGAAATGGCATAAATGAATTCCTCTTCCTACCTCTAATCAGACCACTCAAATGAGAGAAGCTTCATTTAATAAACACTTTCTTTACTGCTGCAAAAGCACCACACCCCTCTTGCTCTTTAGACCTTGAAGTCTTTTTTTGAATGAATAATTTGTTATTGATGCTTTTGTTTCCAGAATACATGGGAACATACACCCATTATTTTGTGTTGTTTTGTATATCTATACTGCTTCTTGCTACCAAAAAAATAAATAAATCCCAAAGTAGTTTACAACATACAGTTCTGATAAATGAAAGAAGTATACGGTATTTTGAATCAGCCTTTTCTTGCTTCTTCCTAGTAATGTTGGACTTCAAGTCTCACTTACATGTTGGCCATGTTGGCTGGGAAGGATTGGGAACTGAAGCTTAGACTATCTGGAGGTATTAGGTTGAGAAAACTTAAAACAATCTCACTCTGCTTATGCAGATAAGTGATATGTGAAGATTTATCCATTTTTATCTGTCTTTACATCTGTCTTCTCCAGCTGACCGGCTGACAACAGATGACTTGAACTCTCTCATTGCTCATGCTCACCGACGTATAGACCAACTGAATAAGGAGCTGGTAGATATGAGAGTCCGAGAACAACAACACATTAAAACAGCTCTGGAAAAGCAGAAACTGGAAGACAAAAAAGCTTTTGAGTCAGCAGTAGCAAAGGCACTGGAACGTCATAAGAATGAAATCCAAACTGAACAGGAGAAGAAGGTAACTAATGCATTTTTAATTTTCTAGCACACTTTTGAGTTGTCTTTGTGCACGGTGTCTTCTGGTCACTGGGGCAATAATTCCTATTTAGTGCTCATTTGCTTAATAAGATTGCACTAAAGTAGAGCTTTAGATAATGGGGATTTGGTTATGGCAGCTTAGAGTATAAACTTTCAATTAGACTACAGTGTTTGTGCTGTCTGGAATCTATCTTTGACACAATGTCCAGCTTCTAGCATGTATTGCCAAATCAGTGCACCAGTGGAGTTAGCTGCAGTGGAGTTAGCTGGAGCAATGTCTGACAAACCTGACATTTTACAACCCTTACAAAATACAGTGAACTCTATTTTACAGGGTGGAAAAATGCCACAGACTTGGGAAGAGGCTAATATAACATTAATACCTAAAGAAGGACAAGATTTAACTTTAGCAAGGAATTACCTTGTTCAATAATGACAATAAGTTGTTTACAATTATTTTAGCTGAAAGGCTGAAAATAATTTTACAAGAATATATTCATGAAGACCAGTGTGGGTTTTTGCCTAAAAGACAGTTGAAAGACAATGTTAGAACTGTGTTGGATATTTTGGAATATTTGGAAC